CATTTAATCAGAAACACTACTTATTTATGTATAATTATAAATAAACAATATATATTTATTTATATTTATTATTACTTAATCAGAAACAGTATCGACGGATTCAGCTATCGAGTTACTATAAAACGTTTTAAATAATATCACGACTAAACATAAACACCCACGTCATTTAATGAGAGTAAAAATCTAAAAAATATTTGAGAATGACATATATATATACACACACACACACACACACACACACACACACATATATATATATATATATATATATATATATATATATATATATGTATATGTATATCTGTCTTTATTCTATTACTAACAGACCCGGCCGTTGCTGTGACACAATTTTTGTAACAAAAACTATCCTATCCTTTAAGTTAGAACAAATCACACATTTAAAAAACCTTAATATCGGACAAGTAATTTCGGAGTTCATCGCGGAGTAACATCGTGACACGGGAATTTTATACGAGTATATTAAGATTTTATAAGTTTCGATTCTCCAACGTTATTGTAGAATGACATCTTGTTTAAGACCTATAATTCCTTTATCTTAGAACATGAGTCACAGTCATATCTTTGGCTTTGATATTCGCGAGTGGTCGCCTTCAGAGATAAGAAATGAAAGATTCTACTCATACGTTGCTTTTTCTTATCTCCTTTTCCTTCACCTCTTCGTACATACGAACTTTAAAAATTGATCAATAATAAGATGAAATATATCTGATAATTGTTGGTCAATAATGTATAAATTCGACTCAGTTACAATTTTATTATATGTATATATTATATTTAAAGACTATAAAAGTTTGCCAATAATAAACAGAAATAGACGAAAGAAAAAACAGCATCACGAGGTTTTTTTTTAATTAAACTCAGTTTAAAACCTTAGCCTCTCCCATGACCATCATTGTTGTAAATCATTCGATACGTCGGGAACCAAAAATTAAAATAAATCCGCGAAAAAATCAGAAAAGGTAGTTTTATTTAAAATGTCAAATATTCGCGTAAATCTAAGAAAGTATTATGTAAACTCAGTAAAACTAAAGTGAACTGATCTGAACTATGGCTACGTGGCCCGATATACAGCGGAGATGATATTTCGCGGTTTTAGCTCTACATTCGTATTGACAGTATGTCTCAACGTTTGAAGAATAGATCCATTTAGTTTATTTGCGGACGTTCCCGGAACTATAGGGCATCGGTAGATGATGCTTTGTTTGAGGTCCAAAGAGTATATACCGTAGTTTGGATAAATTACTACTTATAATTTAATTATAAGACTTTTACCCTTAAAAGTGTCTAAATCTTCGTTAATTTAGGATTTATATCGTATTCTTTATTGCACTAAACTATTCAAATAAAAAAAACAGAAAGCGACGTGGAAAAAGGTGGAATTTAAAGAAACAGGTGAAGAATTTCTTCTTATATTTATAAGTAAATAAAATTAAATAAATAAATAAATAAGACACTAATATTAAAGTTCTTTGTTACTACTTCACGGTATAACGCCTTAATGGATTTAAGTAGTAGCTTATATACTAAATTAACATATAGGTTACTTTTATTTACATACTATGCGAGCAGAGCCGCAGGTAAAAACTAGTCAGTAATATAAATACAAGTTTAAGCATCGTTTTCCATAATTATACCCAGAAAAATTACGAAATTTTGAAATTACACTTTAAATCTGTCATCTACATTCATAAATATTGTTCAACCAAGCACCTTTAAAGTTCTGAACTATAATGAAATAATATTAATCTTTCAGATTACAAAAATACTTTCATTTGGTATCAATTTGAAAGCTTTTATTGAATAGAATGAATCTATCTCGTGAGACTCATTCTTAGCTATTGTGGCTTCTTGTGGAATTAAAGAAATAGAGCCGGGGGTATTTGAACGTATTAGCCGGCTTAAGCTTAACTACCCGCTTCATCCAACTTACCACGTCTCTACTTTAAGACCAGTTTATGTAAATCTGAATATCTATAGATTATGATTTTTAGTGCACGTATAATGTATACAACGTACTACTAAATTTCATTACTAACAATACCCTATGTGTTACTCCAGCTTAATACAAAATTTCATCCAAATCCGTACAGCCTTTTTAGTGCGAAGAAAACAAACATACACACATACAAAATTTCGCATTTATAATTGTATTGTGATTGTATTTATAATCTAAATTCATTTGGTAACTAAAACAAGTTAAAATATGTTAACTTTAAATTTTCTACAAAATTTAACAGTAAATCGTAGCAATTAGTGCGACCGTTGAAAAACAGTCTTACACTATAATCACCGTCAGTAATCACACTGTCTTAGAACCCTTCCATAAATGACACCTAAATCTGACCCTAAATAATTGTGAAATGGTCTGAGAGCAGTTATCCCTAACAGTTAACTCCCAAAGTATTCGAGAGTTTAAATGATATTTAACAATAATTATCTTAACACTGGCTCTTAGTCTAGGAAGATATTGAGCTATCAATTTTTAGAGTTTTATACCTAAAGACCTCAATTAGAATAATAATTCTTTGCAACCATTAAAACGAGAACCGTTTCATTTTAGAAGCGATTACAAGAAAGCATTTTATTGCAAGTAAAAATTAATTGAAGCAGTATCCCTAGAAATGTTACAGCCTACGAATCTATACTGTTGTCAAACGACGGCGTCTAGATAAAGGGATCGTGTGAAGCGTGCTAGGTGAGACTCGGGTTATAAAAGTGACGGTGAAGACCGTCAGGTGCGCACCTGATTGTCATATATAATTTTATATGATAACTAGCGACTCACCCTTTGCTTCCCAATACAAACTTTCATCCCCATTTTCACCCCCTTAAGAGATGATTTCCGGGATAAAAAGTATCCTATGTCCGTTCCAGGGTCTCAAACTATCTTCTCACCAAATTTCATCTAAATCGGTTCAATAAATCCAGAGATTACCCCTTACAACGTCACAAACTCGCAAACAATTCAAAAACTCACAAACTTTACCTCTTTATAATATTAGTATAGATAATAATTATTTCATCGACTTCGGCTACAGCGGCCAATATCGTTAAGACTAAGCATAGGAGTGCAACACCATTAACTTGCCAACTCCGGGCTGTTACTGAGAATTGCTTTGATATATTCGTGCTCATCACACAAATGAATACCACCAAGAGGACTCGAACCCGCGACCGCTGGCACAGCAAGTTGGGTCACTACAAACTGAGCCACGTATCGTCAAACTTTATAATAATAAATAATAATAATAAAAATCTTTATTCGGTATCTCAAAAATTTTACAATAGCTGATAAGTGATTGGGACCTCCTTTTAAGCGCACAAGCACTTGTGTTAGGAGAAACCGCTCTTCCATTACATAAGTGTACTAACTAACAATTACTACTGTATAGATACTTGTACTAGTTAAAAATTTCACTATAAGCTAAGTAGGTACTATACAGGGTCATTTTGAATTTACTGAAAACCTTTTGGGAACATACTATTTACATCATAACAACAACATCTGTAACAAGAAAAAATTATATTTCTTAAATTTTTATTTTCATACAAAAATAAAAAAAATTTTTTTGCACCTTCTAAACTTTAAAGTTCTAGCATCTGACCAAGTTTAAATGAGTAAGCGCGGCTTCCTACACCCCTCCACCCCTCTCCCTCCACCCCTTCCCCTCCACCGGACACGCACTTTCTTTTGCTAATGTTGGACTATAACCGTTGAGAAGGTGCAATAAAATTATTTTTATTTTGTTAAATTTAAGTTTTTTTTTTCTTACGGATGTTATTGTTATGTTGTAAATAGTATATTCCCAAAAGGTTTTCAGTAAATTAAAAATGACCCTGTATATTTTACAATTTACAATCTAAGGTGAAAAGTATGTGAATATCTGTATATGTGTATGTGTGTATATCTTTATATATCTAGAGTTCTGTTTGCTCTATATTTATTACACAACAATTCTCCTATATTGTTATGTAACATAATAATTATTTCTGTCGCTTATAACTTTAACAAAATAGATACGTATTACATAGATCTAAACGAACTTGCGAAGTGCTTAATTTGACCTTAATCGTGTCTGTTTTGTAGTAAAGGAAACTCGTTCTTATTCCTTTAAAATTAAGGCGATAATTGGTTGTAGTATTGAAACGGGATGAAGAAGATTAATCTAACTATAATGTGAAATCCTCGGTGTCAAAGTTTATTAAGGATTATTAAACAAGAAGTTGTTTTGAGTGTTATTTGTATTAGTTTCTACATACTTTTCGGGGATATTCATTATTTATAACATTTTAACGGTTAGTATGGAATAGATAGACTATATATTATATTATATATAGCCTATAACCTTCCTTAATAAATGGTCTATCTAATGCAAAAAGAATTTTTCAAATCAGAATAGTAGTTCCTGAGATAAGCGCGCTCAAAGAAACAAACAAACTTTGCCTCTTTATAATATTAAATATAGAGTAATTGTTATTTAACATAGCTTACGTGTAGAAAGCAGATGTACTAGTATCTCTAAATTATAAATTATCTCAATAAAATAATTCTTTTTTAACAAAAATGTATGCGACTTCAAAATCGCTGAAAGTAATCCTACTTTTGAGCGTAGTCTTTATTTTAGTTTAGATGACTACATTTGAGGTTATAGCCTAAGAGAATTGACTACTTATTTTTCTATACTTAAGATACTTTTCTAAATTTTAATGTCTTCCCATCGATTAAAAAAAGTACTAGATTCACAATCAGCGAAAAAAATGTCCTCACCGAATGACCGCTCATTTGGACATTTGAGCGCGCTTTTGGTTTTTTTTTGTGAAAACTACTTTAAGCATTGCTTCTAAGGTTCAATTTACATTATTGTATTTATTTCAACTAGAATATTTAGCTAAACACAATTGGTGACAGCTTTAAGATAACTTTTGCATGGGATTGTGTATCTAGTAATTTTTTGATCTATGTGTCGTCCTTATCTTACCTTCAGATTGTGCCAGGGTAAGGGCATACAGGGTCCCAAGCGTTATACATATTGATAGCGCTCTCATCTGTAACAATTAAAAAATATAATTAGTATACAATTTTTAAGTAAAGAAACCTATCTAATTGGTCGTTGCGTTTTCGTAATGCGAAGTATTATGCGAAAGGGAAGTATATTATTCTATCCTTTTTTAACAGATGGTCATTTTGGACTTACTTTTTTCACTTTTTTTCTGGTGAAAGCTAAACTAGAAAAGCTTGGTCGAATCAAAAATGACGTATTTTTTAGTTCGGAGTTGCTTTTGATGTTAGACTTATTTAAAAAAATAAGAAAAAGTAAAGGGAAAAAACGACGTTTTTTACAATAGTATCTCAAACTTTACTATAAAAAGCCATCACGTGTCATTTTACATTTGGCGGCTATGTTGATATTAATTTCTTTACTATTAGAACACATATTTACGCGACCAGTCTCTCATGCGATTTACGCTCCATCACCAATAAATAAAAATAAAAATTATACCAGATAATATACAAGTATTATATAAAGCAATATAATTTTGTGAATATTAATATGGAAAATATTCTACTTATACAATAACTCAGGATACCAATAAATTCCATGCATAAGGCGGGTACAGCTCGCAGCGGCAGACCGTTTCAAAAAAGACAAAGTTGACATCGAAATAGCGTTTTATAAGGAAAATCCTTTGAGAGCTTTACAAAAATTCCTACCAATTACGGCGGAAGAACTTGGGGAAAAGCGTACTTTCAACGGGCTTTTAATGTGAAGTGTTTAATTCAGTCACTAGATGGCGTCGAGTACGTAATTGCTGCGCGATTGCGGGTAGGTTAACTATTTTCATGAATGTTTCAATTGGAAATCAGTAAAAGTAGAATTTACAACTAGACTTAACAAAAAAATTCTCACATTAACGCGAATACTTGATATTTTAAATAAAACTATTATCTTTTCGGATTTATTTTGATTTTTGGCTCCCCGTGACCATGATTGCTGTAAAAATTCGAAACGGGAACTAAAAATCAAAATAAATTCGCGAAAAATGCAAATAGACAGTTTTATTTAAACTAAACTAAACTTATATTTAGGTAGGGATTTAAAGACTATGCAACAGACTTTTATATATAATACTAGCATTGCCCGCGGCTCCTCCTGCGTTCAGATGACTAAAAATCAAATTCTCAGGTTTTACTTACACAAACAACTGTATGAATCATACAAACATAACTTTAAGCCCAGATTTTAGTAGACTGTGGTAATAGGATATATTAATATGGTATGTAGGGAATTGAGGAAATTTAATTTATTTTTAGTAAGCAAATCTATACATATAATAATATTGTAACTAAGCTGAATCTGTACATGATGATTTGGTATGATGATATCTGGTTATCCGGGTCAACGTAAAGAATATTTTTTACTGCGGGAGTATACCTCATCTCTGAAAAATCTATACTAAACGTTAAGCGAGGGTAAGTCGCTAGTTAGAAATAAAACATCAAAAGGTAAGTTCTTTTCATTCTCAATTATTAGGCCTGTCAGATATGTCAATATCTGATGAAATATATTTGACAAAATTCCTGTACATAGTTTCTATTACATTTTTCGTTCCTAGTATATTAAACAACGTTTGAAATGTAGTGCTGGCGTAGGCTGTTGTGCGTTCCGTGGACCGCTAAAATAACTATAAGATCGGACGCGATAAAGAAGCAGTGGGCGCTACTCTTCATGCCGCAGTCCAGGCATCGCTGGACTGAACTGACTGGAAAAAAATCATAAGTGGTCACGATCCTCATCAGTGAGGGAACGAGAAAGGAAAAGAATATTAAACAAACGAAAGATATTAATTTCGACCACTAATGAGGAAAGTCTAGCTAAAAATAACAGTGATATTAATACCTGTCATCCAACATGAATTAAATACGATTTTCGAAAATCTAAGTACAGTGGTAATAAGAAGATAGAGTAAGAAAATATAATATAAATCTATATATTAAAAGATGAAATAAATCTAGCGGAGGCACAAAATATTCTATCGCAGTCGGCAAAAGCAATTAAAGTTACTAATTGATATATAGTATATATTAATTACCCTTCAAATTGACGTCGTAAAATTCTGTCCCGAAACTTTTGCCAATTACAAAAGCTATGTCTGGGATTTTAAGCTTTTGACGATTTTGTTACGTTCAAGGGAAACGAGCCTTGTAATGGTTTTGTAAAGGATTTTATATGATAAATATAAGTTTATACTAATTTCTAGCCGCGGTTTCATTCGTGTTCGATATATACCTACTTCAAGAGTGCTTATAGAAACTATGCCGCTACTTTTCACCCATATATGATATACCCCTATGATTTCTTGGAAACGAAAATCGACTGTATATAAATAAAAATGAATCACCGAAATGTATCATGTATATATATACCAATGTATAATGTTCGGATCGACTGCACCAAATTGGATAATACTTCTTTTTGTGTTTGTTATTGGCAGGAAGTTTTGTATAGAAGAAAATTAAAAGAAAAAAATGACTAAAATAAGTTTTCTTAAATCTTATGATATGAAAAGTGAGTGAGTGAAATCGTTTTTATCACGGAATTCATCCCTTAAGGGGGTGAGAATGGGGATTAAAGTTTGTATGGGGAAGGAGGTGAGGGTGAGTCGCTAGTTTCAAATAATATTTTCTTTTCGATTATTTAAGTCATTAAAGAAATAGATTTTCAAAATTTTAGACATGAACGTCCAGTGCTTTCGTCTAGGCAATAGACATAGATAGTTTAGTCGAGACTTATCTTGACAAGCAACTACAGTTTACCGATATCTTAATTTTAGAACTACTTAAAACGCCGGAAGTGAGCAAGTACGTTTCTTTCTAAAAATTTAACCTTCTAAGTTTTTAACCTCTTAAGATCATACCTATTCGCAACTATTCGAAGCAGATATGACTTATTCAGTAATAATTTATAAGTTTTCATTTGTTTTACATATATATCTATACATATAATAAAATTGTAATGAAGCCGAATCTGTACATTAAATATTTTTTTGGAAAATCTTATTAAAATAATCATTATTATCAATACAGAGGCCCAATCTATAGTTTTTAGAATTTTCGTCTGTCTGTCTGTTACCGCATCACAGAAAAACCACTGAGGGATTTTGATGAAATTTGGTATGGTGATAGCTGGTTATCCGGGTCAACATATAGGATACTTTTTACCGCGGTAAAATGTCTCATTTCTAAAAAAAATACAAAAACTGCAATGTAAAAGCTAAGAATTTGGTTTTTGGTCATCTAAAAGCGGGCGGAGCCGCGGGCAGTTCTAGTTAGACTATAATTCCATTAACTTTTCTCATAAATAACAAATTGGCCGTTTATTTCTTACAGAATAGCTGTAATCTAATTCCTCAATTACTAGAAAGACCGTTGAAATATAAGTTGATTCTTTTTAATTTAACGTTAAAAGATATAATGAATTTAACCCCTTTCTTATTAAATTTTGAGCTTGTCTCACTTAGTACGTAGTTTTATCTCACTTTGTCGAGATGTTCGTCAGTCAGAGTAGTCCTGCTAACACTTATTACTTATTTTTCTAACGTAGGGAAACATATCTATGAATACAACCTGTACAAATGGTTGTGTTGAGACAAACCAGTTTTAGCCACTAAATTTGAACAGCCTCGACCTTCCTGCTAATAAGATCCAACTTAGTGATTATTTTACACGTAGTTCCAGATACTATTTTTTTTTGTATTACAGTAATAATATCCACATAGCTGATTTTCTTTTCAAAGCCAATGAATGATACTAGCTTACTGACATGTTACATAAGTGCACAATTTCTGTTTCTTTAAGTCTCATATGCTACTGGAATGAAAATTTGACACAATGAGAGACCTTATCTGTACCTACAGGACTAAAAACTAAACATGATTTCCAAGACACGGTTCAGTGCATACCGCCAACATCTTAGCTGCTAACAGACAAATTCTATATTGAAAAAATTACCGTATAATAAAAACTATTATTGATATTTGAATTTGGCTCTAAGCTATTTTGGTACAGCTTCGGACCCGAATCCAAAACATGCAGTCGTACATGCTATTATTCATTAGTTATATTGGTTTGTTTGCATTCTTATGAAATTTATTTTATGTTTAAAGTTTGCTTTTTTTAAGCAAACCCACAAATTAGCGTACAGAATTTCATAATAAAATATATTTAATCGACAGCGCCATCAGCATCAAGCCTACAGGCGAAACAAAAATTTAGCCCGAAAAAATAGCTTGGATTAAGGCGGACCTAATACCTATATGATAGGGTGGATATATGTACACTATTATATAATCTGTGCATAAAGTTTAACTGTCACGAACTTCAATGCTAACAAGGTAGTGTGAACTGGAGCTCGTTAATACTATGAAACTTCAATTTAACTTATCCTGTGTAAAATGTATTAGAATTTGACTTCGCCGCAAATGTAGACTAGATGGCGCATCACGAGAAAACCACTGGACAGATTTTGATAAAATTTGGTTGGTATGATGATAGCTGGTTATTTAGGTTAACATATAGGATACTTTTTACTGCGAAAATGCGAAAATCTCATCTCTGAGAAATTAACCGTTAAAAAGTAGGGACGAACCCGAGAGGAGCAAGGGTGAGTCGCTAGTACTTAATAACCATACTGAGCCCGACCCGGAACTCGAATCTAGGATGTCAGGATCTGCAGCCGAAGATGCTATCCACTAGACCAATGAAGCAGAGTTACATAAGCATTTAAATAATTTAAAATAAATAAATGATTTTACATAATCTTGACTGTCCGGAAAAAATGATGGGCCATTTGAACAACCACAGTATGTTACATTTTTCACAACTCTCCCTTTGTTCGGTTAGCGTTTCTGGCTTTTTAATTATTCACGCTACCGGCAAGAATTCAAGTGAAGGCTGCAAATTTGAAATGGGAAGTGCTTAATTGTTTTTGTATTTTTAACTCCGAAACGTTCCTGTATTGCTGTGTCTTGCAATAATTAATTTACACTTTGTTATTTTTAATGACCCACAATTTTCTTCTTTCAAAAGAACGTCAAGAACGCTTACTTACTAAGAAATCAGTTCACGGGTCACATTCAATAAAGTTAAAGGTCTGTTGGTTATTTTGAAATAATCTCGTTAACCGTCCAGTTGATATATAAAAATCTTTGCTGCGCTGTTTGAATTGCGCTAGACGCTTTATATTTATATTTCAATACGAGATATGACTTCTGTGATTGTGTCATTGTTATTTTATAACATCGAAAATGTACTGGAAATTGTACTGATTATAATAGCATCTAGAATTGTAAAACGAATTGTTAGAATGAGGACTGTTTTGTTATAATTAAAAACAATATTTTGGAGACCTTTATGAAGGATGTATAAATTGTGTTCTAAAATAACTGTCTTCAAAAGGAGTTTGTTTAGGTAATTGACGTTATCTCCGTGACTAAAGGTCATTTGATTAATATTGATGTTTATTTTTTCAATGTCTTTCTTATCTTTTATTTTGTAACTAGCACTGCCCGCGGCTCCGTCCGCGTTCAGATGACCAAAAACCAAATTCTTAGGTAAACAACGTACAGTTTTTGTATTTTTTCTCAGAAATGAGACATTTTTCCGCTGTAAAAAGTACCCTATATGTTGACCCGGATAATCAGCTATGATCATACATATGATACCAAATTTCATCAAAATCCGTCCAGTACTTTTTCTGAGATGCGGTAACAGACAGACAGACAGACAATAATTCTACAAACTATAGATTCGGCCTCTGTATCGATAATAATGTCTATTTCAATGAGATTTTTCAAAAAATATTTAATGTACAGATTTAACTCAGAATTTTATTATATGTATAGATAATAATTGTGAAAAATTGTTTCTTGGCTTGTTTTACTTTGAAGCGGCAAAAGTAATGGGATGGATAGTTTTGCTTAAATATAAAGTATAATAGTCGTTTAATTATTTAATTATGTGTGGTTATTAGGTATTTTTGAAGTGAAACTTCTTTAGAACCTTGTGATTTTAAACTCGATGAAACGGAAATGCGACACTAAAAAGAGACAAACACATAAATACATAGGATTAAGCCCGCGTGAGAATGAGATAGAATACATTGCCATGTTGCCATGGTAATCGTTTTTATTGTCTGACAAATAAATAATATTATATTCTTTCCGTATATGATATTCTATAAATATATGATTGTAATATGCCTAATATATTTAATATATATAATAATTAATTTTCGGTCTATTTTAATTTAATTGCGATATTTGCTAAATAACTTTTACTCCCACCGAGCCTAAAGGTTACACGCACCCATTTTTTATTTTATTATAAATCGATAATTATCTTAACAAAAAAAATTATCAGCACTGCAGAGTATTATAAATTACCATTTTATATAGCCCCACTGTGCTGAGCTTGTTTGTTATATCTTATATCCTAGCTACTCTCAGAAACTTCTTTACGGACTTCATTTGAATTTCATCAATAATAACAGGGATTATATAGAAAATATTTTTTTTAAATAAACTATCGCTATCATATTTGTGATTTAAGTCGGAAATAATATATACAAAGGGAATGTAGGTACTCTAGTATGAAATACAGTCGTCAAAAATTCAATAGTGTTTTTTTTATATGTGAGAGAGTCCTTGATGACTTAATTATTAAAAAAAAGATGTACAATGAGGCAGATATGACGTGAACTATTAATAATATATAATTATAAATAATATAAAACTATATAATAAAAAAAGAAGAAGAAGGAGAAAAAAATCATAATTTTAAATAATTATATATTAAAAGAAACGGTATTATAAAATTTCATGAATATCATATATGTCAGTTATGTCAATAATAATCATGAATCTTAATATTATTATTGATTTGTAAATGTAAATATCTATTATTCAAACTTTTTTTGCTATTTTATTTCGGATATTAAAGGCTTATCATTATTATTATTATATTAATAAACTCTTTTTTGAACAGTTGGTAAAAACAAGATTTATACCAATAAAACCAAGTTCTCATATTAAGTCCGAGCGCGCAGTTCTATTAGAGATAACAAAATGAATTCCCTCGTGACGGGATAAATAATTCAATGTATACGAATGCGAAATATTACTGTTGAGATAAATATTGTTAGTTGATGCTAGTAATTAAAGTAATTTTGGTGATTTAAATTATTTAGTTACTAGCGAGTCACCGCTTCGCTCGGGTTCATGCCTAGGTACGTTTTAACGGTTAGTATATTTTTTCGAGATAAAAAGTAACCTATGTGCCATTCTACACTATAATCTATCTTCACACAAATCCGTTCAGCTGTTCTGGCGTGATTGAGTAACAAACATCTATACATCCAAAAGCGACTCACCCTCGCGTAACTTCTTCCCTAGGTACGTTTTGACAGTTATTATAGATTGCTCAGACCTGAGATATTTTATTTCTTAGACCTGAGATATTTTCCCGTAGTGAAAAGTATCCTATATATTGACCCGGATAACCAGCTATCATCATACCATATTTCATCAAAATCCCTCCAGTGGTTTTTCCGTGATACGGTAACAGACAGGCAGATAAAAATCCTAAAAACTATAGATTCGTCCTCTGTACCAATAACAATGACTATTTCAATAAGATTTTCCAAAAAATATTTAACATACAGATTCGACTCAGAATTTTATTATACGTGTAAATATATGTATATAAACCTTGGTGCCTTGTTAAAGTCACCGAAACAAATGATCGATCAAAAAACACATTCTGTTCATGGTCCATGAGGTACCGACAAATTGTATGCCGCCCACATCTGCGAGCCACGTTGTAAATTAGCAAGGATTTATTTAAGTTTACAGAAGGAAGGTTGAATGAGAAAATGTAAATACAACTATATTTTCAGAACAATTTAGCAATTTAATCTATCTTGAACTTGAAGATTAAGCTTATTTATAAAGGCTTACAGTCTTCTAAAATTATTGTATTGTAAAATTAATGTATAAAATTATATTTTTAAGAGCAATTGTTGAGTTCCTCGCTGGCTGTCTTCAACAAAATTATTTTTTCATTCGGTGGTACGTTTCGATAGATAATTTAATTTTATTAATTGATCATTCAAAAAGTTATTAATGTTAAAATATTTTTAAGTTTGAGTATAAGTATCTGGGTTATGGTTTTATATCATTTTAATATTATAATTTATATATCTATCTCAGTTCCACCTATCTAACTTCTGGTTTTAAGTCAATAATCCCTTTACGACCGCGGACACGCCAACGTTACAGTTAATAATAGATTTCTTAGAAATTTAATAGATTTCTTAGAAATTTACCTGGAGGTGATATATCAATAATTGGAAGTAGGTTAAATTTTCATTAGCTATTTTCCACCTTCAGAAGTGTTTATTTTCTAATTTAAATGGGACTAAATTGGTTAATAAATTGGTTAATCAGTTAATAAATGAAGGAGTTCTGAGGTAAGAAACAAAAAAAATACAGCCGAATTGTGAACCTCCTCCTTTTTGAAATCGGTTGAAAATGCAAAGCAAGATATATTCTTCTTCACAATCTTTTGCTAGAAGACCGTCCCGATCGTCCTTTATCGAATTTTATACTAGGAGTATGAGCTGTATTTTTAACTTCGATTAATACAAACAAAATTACAAAACGAATCAAATATAAAATAAAATAAATAAATATGTTAGGACATTAACACACAGCACCATCTATTTCCATGGTAAGCTACGAAGCTTGTGTTATGGATACCAGATAGTTGATACACTACACATATATAACTTTAAATACATACATATTATAAATAAAACAAAATTTTTAGTTTTTTTTTGTTTGTTGTAAGTTTAGAATAAATTCACCAGTATTTTCCATTATGTTAGATTTCAAAGAAAGCTCTTTAAAAGTCGATTTTAAAAGATTAGTTTTATTTACTAAGGTTTTTGTTAAAAATCTTGTTTACCTTATCGCTAACTTATATATGGAATTAGTATGTTAAAAAATCTAAGTAGCACAGTATTCCTGGTGTTCATTTCAAAATTGTGTTAGCTATTCACCTAGAAAGCGTATTTTGAACATATTGAGGAAATTACCTTTGGTGTTAGGGGCCTACACCCGCTTTGTTAGACAGCTACTTGCTGGCATACGAAACCTGTAACAATAGAATAATGTATGAAGAAGCTTATTAAAATTTTAATATTTAAGGATAGTATGGCAGTGGTAGCCCAGTGGTAACTCGCTCGGTTGGGAGATCGAGTGAAGCGGGTTCAAATCCCGAGTCGGGCACATTTGATATTTTTATGTGCGAATCATTTCCAATATATTACAACTGTCTTAAGGAGAAGGAAAAAATCGCTAGTAAATCTGCATATTTGATAGAATCTAGCAAGTTTTTGACAGATTGGTGCCGTCTGCCAACGCGCAATTGGCCAACGTGGTGGGCTATGGCCTAACCCCTTTATAGTGAAGTGAGACTCGTTCCCAGCAGTAGGACATTAAAAAAAGGCTATAAATATATGCCGCTGGTAAAATTTCTTTATCGCAAAATACGTGTAAATTTCATCGCTCCAATATTTTTGCTTAGCATTTAATCAAATTTTAATAATTGTTTTGCCTTGCGACAACAGCAAAGCGATTGCTTTTTCTCGCCTTTAGCTGATTTCCAAAAATCTGGAAATTACATGTTTAGGGACTGATTTTTATTAGGGTTCTTTCTGTAGCAGAAAGTATGAAAAATGGAACACATATAACGTCCTAAATATGTCCGAATGTCCCAACCATTTTACTGGACTACAGTTAGACCGTTAGACTTTGTTGTAGTCAAATTACAAAAAAAAGTTATTATATTATATTATATTATTAAAAAAAAGTTATGGCGTAGAGAGGAGTGAAAAAAAAATGAATTAACATAAACTTGTGGATTACCTATGTTTTAAGAGGTCTTTAAAAATGAAATGAAAGTAAACAGAATTTTCATTTGTAATTTTTACTGGATATTTAGCCGCGATAAAATATATGTTAGATATATTATTCGGGAAAAGAAAGTTACTTATATTTATTTTTATTTATTTCATATATTTATTTTTGTACAACCCATTCAGTGTAAAAACAATTATGAAAATAGTTCCACAATGGCATAATTGGTTCATTAGTTTATTAACGGTTAGTGTGGAATAGATATACTATATATTATATGATATATAACATATAGTATATATCGTCTATATATCGCCTATAGCCTTCTTCAATAAATGGACTATCTGATGCAAAAATAATTTTTAAAATCCGACTAGTAATTCCTGAGAATGGCGCGTTCAAACAAACAAACACACACAAACACAAACAAACGAACAAACTCAGCCTCTTTATAATATGAATATATTATAGATGAACATTTTTGTTATTTAGCGTTATCTTAGCTTTCAAAGTCTTGGAGAAAAAAAGAAAGGTGTTTTGGATATTTTAACCTAATAAAGTGTTCTTTTTGACATTTTTATACCTTTCTTCTATATTTATTAGTGATATGTGAAAGGTTGATAGAAACTTATAGTCTCGTATCTAACCCTTCAGTGTTTGGGGTCGACTATGCCCCGATTGTACCTTTGGATAAGAATTGAATGTTGAAAGGGTAAAATTGCCGTTGGAATTGTCTAACGCAATAAACTTATCTAACCCTCTCTTCGGCGCTTTGCGGCCTCACTCGTAAAGTTTTCTAGGCTATAAAGCTTTTTATTTTGTAATTTTACGAAGTCTAAGTACTTTTTATGTTTTAACTTCTTCCTTATATATTTAGACTAGCGACTCACCCTTGCTTCGCACGGATTCGTCCTTGGGTTGCTCCCCTATACAAATTTTCATCAGTTCAGTAGTTTCGAAGATTATTCGGTACAACCAAAGAAACAAACAAACAAAAAATCTAAACCATAAAATTCAGTTTTTATGTGTATGTCAAATGATATTATTACCTCTCTATAATAGAATAATAAGTTTTAAACTAAATAGTTGAAAACGTAATATATATATTAACGTAGTATATATATATTAATTGGTCAATTAGATCTATTTACAGATGAGATCAACCACACAAACCACGACAGCTCCATACTAAGCACGCACCTAATTAAAGCAAGCGCCATGTAATTGTACTAGATAGAAAAGAGAAAATAGAAAATTAGCGACATCACTATATTTTATCCGAATCGACCGGATAATAAACGATTGCCATTTTTTTAAATATAACTTAATTCAATAAATAAATAAATAAATACAACCGAATTGAGAACTTCCTCCTTTTCGAAGTCTGTTGAAATGGCAAAGTAGTTTTGTTCTTATAGAAATTCCCAGATCACGACAATCTTGAAAATGACTTGAAATATTTTTTCTACATATTGATAAAATCTAAACAATAGAACAGAAGTTAGTACCGGAAGAAATGTTTTGTTTGAACATAGTAACTTCAGCACTTCTTCAAGTACCAGTATCTGTTTTTGTTAAAACATTGTTTATTTCGTCGATAAAGCGCCGCGAGTCCAGAACTTTTACTAAGTAAGGATATACTCGTAATTGCTCACTGGGGTGATGCTTTGTAGCGTTCCATAGTTCTCATTTCGGACAAATACTTCTATACTAATATTATAGATGTCAAAGTTTGTGAGTATAGATGTATGGATGTTTGTTACTCTTTCCCGCCAGAACGGCTGAGCGGATCTGGATGAAATTTGGCACAAAGATAGAGTATAGTCTGGAATAACACATAGGTTACAGTTAGGCCTGGAAAAATATATGGTTCCCGAGGGATAGATTTGTTTTTGTTTTTCTAGAGGCAAACCAGAGGGAAGTGAGGATAAGTCACTGTTTGTTATATTTCTCATTTAGTAAAAAAAACTTTAACCTGACTGTAATGTAGTTACATGATAAACTTTAATTGTAATAATAACTCATCAAGATGGATAGATAGAAATACATAACTATACAATAATATATATAAGCTTTTGAATTTGGTCGAATAACGCTGTATTTGCAATTACTTCCGATGACTATATTTCTTAAAGAAAGCACCTTAAATTTAAGAGGTTTTAGCAAATTATTTTAAAAGTTTCAGGTATTTTTAAAAATTATTTTCTATTATATAAAACTATCTTTTTGGATTTCTTTGCGAATTTATTTTAAATTTTCGTTTATTACAGTAATCGTGGCCACGGGACAGACTCCAAAAATATACTTTTTTTTAAATGTCCAATATTCGCATAAATCTAAAAAAAAAAACTCCTAATCATAGAATTTTGTACTAAGATGGTCATGTGATAGTTTTGATGTCTTTGAAAAAAAAAATTTCTTTTCTTCCCCTTAAGAGCTTCCTTAATTGTTTTGCTTTATTATTATTATAATTTTATTAAATCTGTTACCTATTTATTATTTATTTCTTTATCTCTTAGTATACATGTTATTTGTCATTTTTATGGTGTTTTAAAACATTATTATATTTAAAACTTTATTGTTTGGCCTCATGTTTAGTTCTATGACACTCTATATTAGTGCTTAGTCTGAGATTGTGTCGTACTTGTTAGTCACTGCCTTCATCTACATGTTCATTTAATTCGCAACAATATTTAACTAGACTTGTAACTGACATTAAATTACATAAAGCCGACATCTCAAGCCGTATTTTACATCTAATTAACCAACTAAAATAAAACGTTGTTTATATATTATAATAAAATGTTTTTAATTCAATTTTTAACTACTTTAAAAGAAATATTCATTGGATGGGGCTAATAGACCTTCAAAAAACTTTTAATTTGGCTTGTAGTTGTCTTCTTGGTCTATAGGTGGTTTAGGTTTTGTCCTGAGTTTGGCCGAGGTAGTTTTCAGTCAAAAAATCCTTAATAATAGCTCGTCAAGCCTAGAACATGTTAAGCCACTTGCGCCTGATATATTCTGTCGTGTCGATTTGTTTTCCTATCGGAGTTTGAAATTGAAAGAAATACTATATAGACTCTACTCGAGTCGGAGTTAAATCGCATACACGTGTGTACCATATATAACACCATCTACCACAATGGTCTCAGTGAGATTGGCCACCGCGGTCGAAATACGTATACTTCATTTGTCTTACAAAAACAATCTAGAAATTCAAAGAAACCTTACTTATAATTTTGTATAGATTTAGACATACTAGATATACATGTGTTATGTATTGGAAAGAAAACCAAGAATATAGTATTTGCCAAACAAATAGAATTCAGGCCGTAAACTTTTACGAGTACGATTTGAATAAATGATTCTGAATTAGATTCGGGCTAGGGGTCTCTATTGTTTTTGGTTTTATGGTAACGGTATGACTTCGTACTCTATGATTGTTCATAGTTATTGTTCGGAAGATATCTGTATCTTTTAAATCTATATTTATTTGGCTTTTGAGTTCTTCTCTTATAATAATCGATAATCTTTGAAACTAATGAAATTATTTTAATTTTTTTTCATTAATGTTAACGTATATAATATTATTAAAATCATAATCACAAGAGATACTTAGGACCGCACTCAAACGAAGCAACTTTACTATATACTCGTATAAATGATATATTGGCTAATTTAGCAATACAAAATGTCGATCGAAAACAAATGGCCTGCAGCTAAGTGAAAGGAATGTTCATATTTTTGTACATTAATAGAATTTTCCGGTCCCGTATCGATGTTATAATAAAAAAGGCTTTTAATCTCTACCGTGGAACTCAATTTGCCACATAAAAGATTCCTTAGTGGATTTATTAAAGTGGTCTCAGACCGCTGGCCTAAAGGGACTAGAGGGTTTTTACTTTCTACACATTTCTTAGGAAATGCTTTGGATATTTGTATAAGTCAATTTTTATTTGAAGTCACCCCATTATTAGGCCACATAGCGTGTTGTACGTCGGAGGTCATCTGTACAAAATTTTATATATTTTGTATACAGAGTCATTTTTAATTTACTGAAAACCTTTTGGGAATATACTGTTTACATCATAACAACAACATCTGTAAGAAAAAATAATAATATTTCTTCAATTTTACAAAAATAAAAGTATTTTTATTGCTCCTTCTAAGCGGTAATAGTCCAGCAAATTAGCAAAAGAAAGCGCGTGACCGGTGGATGGGAGGGTGGAGAAGTATAGGAAGTGGCCTTCACTCATTTAAACTTGGCCAATGATGCTAGACCTTTAGCAGGTTACCGTTTAGAAGGTGCAATAAAAATATTTTTATTTTTGTATGAAAATAAAAATTTAAGAAATATAAATTTTCTTGTTACAGATGTTGTTGTTATGATGTAAATAGTATGTTCCCAAAAGGTTTTCAGTAAATTAAAAATGACCCTGTATTTGGACCTATATGATGATGTAACCAAAAGGGTTTAAAATTAGAAAAAAAATAATAAAGCCAAGTACTTTTAAACCAAAAACCTTTTAGGGAATAACCGAATAAGCTAATTTTAGTTTGAAATTAGTATAGAATATTCTTTGAGTAACTTAGAACTAATTATAATTAAAGAAAAATATAAAATAATTAAAATAATCAAGTGTAGTCAAGACTTTCTTTTGACAGTTCTCAAAGCTGCAGAACTTCGTTTTTAAACTGACTCAGTCATTGCTTTTGGTAATTAAATGTAATTTTTTGACTTTATAATATTATATTTGACAACACGTTTGACTCAGTTCGTAGTGACCCTACTTGCTGTGCCAGCGGTCACGGGTTCAACCTGCTGAGGGCATTCATTTCTGTGAGGAGCATGAATGTTTGTACTCCATTCATGGGTATTTTTATTTATAAAATGTATGTATTTAAACTTATATATGTGAGATCAACTATTTGGTATCCATAACACAAGCCTCGTAGCTTACCATGGAACTCGATGGCACTGTGTGTTAATGTCGCAACATATTTATTTATTTATATTTATTTTCAATAAAAAAAATATACTAAAGACGATTATTTTCTTTAAAATATGAGATATTTTATAATACTAATACTTTAGAGAAACTATTCTTTGAACTAAAAATATAGAAAAAAAGCTTCCTTCATTCAATATTTTACTATATTCATGACATTCTGTACTTAAAATATATACTTTAGTGGGTTAGTGGCAGTGGTTCCAATAAATCGTTTAGAGTCCCCGAGGGTATCGAGTTTGGGTCGAAAGAAACTGTCACCGCTAAGATATGTACTTCCCTTTGAAATTTGTTTATTTTTGTCCGGGCTTAATATTTTTTTAGTGTCCCCTTTACATGTTATAGTTATACATTTTTACAAGGAAATGTTATTCAAAATTTTACAAGTATAATATTATGTAATACTTTCTTAGATTTACGCGAATATTTGATATTATAAATAGAACTATCTTTTCAGTTTTTTTGTAGATTTATTTTGATTTTTGGTTCCCGATGTTTCGAATGCTTTACCGCAATCACGGTCACGGTAGAGACTAAGGTTTTAGACGTCTCAAGGATCATTATATACTTGTTACAGACGGTGCCTACCCTAGGGAAGTGAGCATGATTGCTGTAAACCATTCGAAACGTAGGGAACCAAAAATCAAAATAAATCCGCGAAAAAATCCGAAAAGATAGTTTTATTTAAAAAATATATATATTATATCTTCATTTCGGCTCTACACTTCGTTTTGGAGTACGTACATAAATCGCACTCCCGTCGCAATTCGTAATTGAATCGACCAACGTGAATATTAGATGAGAGCGATAAGGGATATAGTAACTTTACTTATCCCTGGATTACGCTTATTCAGAGAAATTTATATGAGGACAATGTGCGGCTTTTATTGATTTTAGGTACGAAAAACATATACGTTTAAAAAAATCTATACATATTATAAAATTGTAACTAAGCCAAATCTGTACATTAGATATTTTTTGGAAAATCTCATTTAAATAAACATTATTATCGATACAGAGGCCAAATCTATAGTTTTTAGAATTTTTGTCTGTCTGTCTGTCTGTCACCGCATCACAGAAAAACCACTGAAGGAATTTTAATGAAATTTGGTATGGTGCGAGCTGGTTATCCGGGTCAACATATAGGATAAGGATAGAACTTTTTACCGCGCGAAAATGTCTCATTTCTAATAAAAATACAAAAACTGCAA